GGGGGGGGGGGGGGGGGGGGGGGGGGGGGGGGAGAGTGGCAATCACCACATTGATAAATTCACCACGTTGGTTGATGGGGTGGCTGAAAACGGATGTTCGAAACGAATCACTTTCTTCTATCGCCAAGCGCTGAAAGCGCGACCATTCTTTCTTTACCAATTGTGTTAACACAACAATTTCCAACAATCGGCAAACAAACTCTCTAGCATATAATACAGGGCGCATAAAAGATTTGGACAACCTTAATAAATCATGAAGAAATGAGCGTATTGCGGTTTGCAGCAAGCGAAAGTTTGATGTTTCGGGTATCACGTATATCATTTTTTTAATCAATTTTTCCCTCCCATTTTTCACCTCGCTGGCAGTGAAATGGCGACTCCGCGGGAGATGGCACGGTGTGTGTCGCGGTTTGCGGGGGTCCCAAGTCGGTCGCGATCGTTCCGTTTCCCGTCGATTTCCCGCCTTCTCCTGTGGAGTCGCCTTTCCACTTCCAATAAACTGGGGGGAGGGGGGGAAATTGCTATTAATTTTATTATTATTATATACATGTAATAAAACTAAAAAAAAGCTAAAGTTTAAATGCGTACCTTCATTTCTTCATGATTAATTAAAGATGAAAGTTGTCTGAATCTTTTATGGAAAAAGCAGAAAATATGAGTCGGGAATTGAAGGACCGGTCGAGGGTGGAGCAGCGTCACGGAATCGCAGCGTAACGGAAACGTAACTGTAAAAAATGATTATTCGTACGCCATGGCGAAATTGATTAAGTATCGAGATGATTCGGATTCATGAAATTCTGACGCAATTATTTTCCACCATGACGGCATGCAGAACGGAGAAACGGGAGGAGCAGGACCGACAAAATCCATGACGATTTTTGAGCTGGCTCAGCTTGGCTCGAAAGTTGAGGGGAGAAGGAGGGAGGTGGAGAGAGATGGATGGATATGGAGAGAGAAGGAGGGAGATGGAGAGAGATGGAGAGAAATGGAGAGAGATGGAGGGAGATGGAGGGCTGAAAGAGACGAGATTGCTGTTGTATATGAAAAGGAAAATTTTCATGAAAAGGTTTTGAGATGTGGTAGTAACATTTCAATGTCGTTAAAAATGTTAATGATTTAGTAAAATTCCCGCGGAAAATAACGCATTTTGAAACGAAACACAAAATCGTGAAGTTTCAACTCACCCGCTTGAGGGCGAATGGTGCAGTCAAACTTATTATTTTCCTCCTGAATTTCGCGTTTTCTTGACTTTGAAATCTAGATTTCTTCCTTGGGTCCAAGCCCAAGAATCTCTCAAGATCCAAATTATATAATTATATATATAAATCGTATACTGATTCCAGAGTGCAAAGACAAATTACGAGACAAAAAGCTACGGACGAAACTTAAAGCACCATTATCGCCAATCCTCTCCCGTTGGGGACCGAGGGTTTCAACTTCGGGCGCAGAAAAGGCATTCCATTCGAGGACGGAGAAGAATGAACTCTCCGCAGCGTGCAGCGATTCCTCGACGAATTCACACATTACGAGCCATTATTTCGAGCGAGGGGCAACCGACAGCGCCAGAGCCCCGATGGAGGCGCGTCCGCTCGTCGCGGAGTCTTCGCATTCTCTGACGGGCGTGGAAACGGGGAGGATGTTCTCCCTCGCGAGAGACATCTAGTGGGGGTTGGGGGAAGGTGTGGACCGGACCGGAATGGAATCCAGTCCATGTCTATCTCCACGCCAAATTTTCGGGCCAGTTTCTGTACGGGTCAGAGTGAAAAATCACTCTGTCAGTCCAACAATGTCCTTCCCAAATCTAGGAAAGTCGACAGTTTTCCAGGTCGTATTCAGTGAATCTAACCGAAATATCTGAAATGAGCTCGACATCGGCGATCGGCAACGTGAAGTCTGAGCTGCTTCCGATTGCAGGCGCTCCAATGGCTTTACGATTCGCTCGCGGTGAATTATCTTCTCCGGCAGCCTATGATGCTCACGAGTCGTTACTACGAGCTTCTTGCGAAGCTGCAGTCCACCGAGCCGCTCGTTGTTCGACTGGAACGCAGGAACCAGAATGAAACTCACCCCCAGGAATGATTTTCGTCTTCTCATCCGGTTCAGGAAGCGCAGGTTGAAACCCGAACGACGCAACGAGACCTCGCAATTCCTGTCATCGGACCTTCCGGCTGCAGGTGTCGGCGTGGCTTGCCAGATTTCGCCGTGATCGTCAGAGATCACGAGGAATACCATCTTATTTTCGCATCGCTTCGTGATCGTCGGTCTCATCGTCAAGAAACGAAGGGGAAACCTTCGCCTCATTTGCACTATCACCTAAAATATTGGCCAAAATAATATCACCACTAAAGTTTAGATGCAAAATTATGGCTTTTTTTCATTTTCTTTCATAATACAGTATTTGGTTATATTGGTCGTTTTTAATGTCAAAATTCTTCTTTAGTATTCATTCAATCAAATTCAACTTTCATTTTGCTTGCATGAAAGACACGGGCAAGGAGAAAGGTCGACGAAGCATCGTAATTTTCCACGGCGAAGGGAGATCGGTCAGAGACTGAAAAAAAAAGCCACGAAACGCGGTTAAACGCCTTCAGCGCACGAAAGCAAAGCGGCTTCCCAGAATTGTTTTTGAAGTCGCTTACTCCTTCACCAGTGGCTGTTTGCTCGCAACTTCTTGCTGAGGTCTCGGTCAGTTCGCGTACAGTCCGACGAAGACTCTGTAATTCAGGCTCAAAATCATACAAACTAGCAAAAAAAAAGAGCCAATGCTCTCGCCAAAAAATATCAGACCACCTGGCCTTCTGTCAGAAATACCAGTACTGGACTTCGGCAGACTGGAAAAAGTTACATTCTCGGATGAAAGCACCATCTGCTAATTTGCCTTTTTTATTCGGCAAGTGCGTAGACCAAAAGGAGAACGAAATAATCCTAGGTTTGTGGTGCCAACAGTAAAGAATGCATCAAAGATCATGATGTGGGGATCAATCAGTTATAATGGACCTGGAGGACTGTGGCTCATGCCACCTAATACCACAATCACATGTCTACTCGTCCATTTCGAAGGATAACCTCCCCACGTCCACGGGACATTGCTGGCACTAATGCATTTCAACATGCCTTGTCACCAAAGTGTCTGCTTGGCTGCTACCTAATGGATGCCATATCCTTGGACCCTGGCCAGGAAATTCGCCAGACTCGAACCCCATCGAGAACGCCTGGTCAATGCTGAAGAGAGAGGTCCCACTGCGCGAATCCATCATCTGCTCAGCTCCTTCAACTGGTCATTAAGGAAGTCTGAACTCAAGAAATAACTCCATGATTTTACTCAAGGTTGAGAGAATCTATGCCGCAGCGAATTCAAGAAGTTTTTAAATTCAAAGGTCACATTTTGACAAATTCACATGATTTCACAAATTCACATGATTGAGGTGTGCTTGCCATTATTGCCATTTGATTTACTGGGTTTATGTTCTTACTGACTTGTAAACAAGTATATCATACTTTGTTGGAAATAATAGTATTCTTGATTAAATTGGGAAAAGCTAAGGGTGGATTTTTGAACAGAGAACTATTCGATAATGCAACTTTATTCCAGGGAAAATACATGATATTTCCTGGAAATAAAGCAGCATTGTCGGATAGTTCTCTGTTCAAAAATAATTTTACATTTAAACTGTAGTGGTGATATCATTTTGGCCAATACTGTATGTAATATTTGACGGTCACGGTCGCGACATTGAAAGCGAATGATAAAGAGGTGGTAATCACGTGTTATTCAAAGAGCAGACAACGCGGTATACGTCACACATCGCTCTTCATGGCCGCTTCCGAGTAGCACGTGGAAGGGTGGCTGCACGAACTGACTGCCTTTCGTGAACTTCTTGCTTTCGCAGCCGTCATGGAAGGATATTCCTTGTTGGCTTCTTCACTCCGTGCTCAGGTTCGAGAAAAGTCTTCTTGATTTTCTGCAACAATTTCATAAATGCTATGCATTGGCCTATGCCTGATCTAAGTGCTTCTGTATGTCATGAATGAGCGAAGTCAGAGCCCTTTTCCCCGCATTTTAGGGGGTGACCCACATGTTCGGCATCGTGGGGATACCTGTAGTGGAGGTGGCAGTTGCAGCACAACAAAATGGATTAGAATATGTCGGGATGCGAAATGAGCAAGCAGCATGTTATGCTGCTCAGGCCATGGGCTATCTCACCCAGAGACCAGCTGTATGCTTGGCAGTGTCTGGACCGGGTCTTCTCCATACGCTTGGTGGAATGGCTAATGCTCAGAGCAATTGCTGGTAACTGATATTCAACTGTGAATTCTGAATGAGTTTGTACTTTTTCCACTTGACTCTCTCAGTGCTGATGGTGTCAACTAAGGTTTTGCTCCAGAGACCTGGATTGCTGCCAGATTTGCTTTGAATATCTAAATATAGATGACAGACTCTTACTAGTGAGGATACCAGGATGGGAGACACTAGAAGGATCATGAATGAATACTGTCTTGTTTGTGGAGATTGTATTTTAACAAATACTCACAGATCCCTAAAAACCTCCAGAGCTTTTTCACCCACATCTTCATAAGAAAATTCCTTTGAGAGGTAAATTCTTTACCAGAGCTGTAAAGTGAATGGGTAAGATGACTCTTGTAAACTCTAATTCTAGTAGAATAGTAGACCTTCAGAGTGTATGTCCAAACAGGCAAAATGATAGCTCATCAGTCTTGCTGTTTTGAAATTAACACTGACCCCAGGCTTTCCCACAAATTTTATGTTCTTGCATGCTGTGTGGTTCGGCAGACCATCGTGTAAAGGATAAAGAGGAATGGATTAATTCATATTGAAATGTAAAGTCTATCTGAAAACATAGTCAATTTGAATCTGCTATCATTGGACTGCTCTCTTTCCTAGGCCACTGATTGTGATTGGAGGATCAAGTGACTTGGATCAGCTAGGAAGAGGAGCCTTTCAAGAATTTCCCCAGGGAGAAGCCAGTCGCATCTACTGCAAATATGTTGCTAATATCACATCAATTTTGCAAATACCCTATGTTGTTCAGCAGGCAGTTCGCTCAGCTATTTATGGCAGACCAGGTTAAAAAAACTTTCTAGATAGAAATTTTGAAGACATTCCAGTTCTTAAATTCCAAAATTGAAATTGTAATGATTGTTTCTCAGGAGTTTCATATATTGATGTCCCGGGCAGTGTGCTTCGTGATCAGGTCCAAGAGGAAAATATTAAGGGAGTGAGTCTTATTCCAAGCCCACCCAAGGTTCTGGCGCATCCATCTGCAGTAGCTCAAGCAGCATCTGTCCTCTTTGGTGCTCATAGGCCTCTTGTCATTGTTGGAAAAGGTTTGTCTTCTTCCCATTGGCACCTGATTTTTTCATCTTTTATGTATGTTAGCCAGTGCAATGTTGGCTTTAAGGTTGTGCATATGGACAAGCTGAAGAACCTATTCGTCAATTCATGCAGAAGGCAGGACTTCCATTTCTACCAACCCCCATGGGAAAAGGAGTAGTTTCTGATCTATCTCCTCAGTGTGTGATAGCAGCTCGTACAGTTGCACTTCGCCAGGCTGATGTCATCCTACTCCTTGGTGCACGTCTCAATTGGATCCTGCATTTTGGACTACCTCCACGATTTTCTCCAGATGTCAAATTCATTCAAGTAAGTCTCTAAACATTGACCTTGAGGTCCAGAAACTGGTTCCTTGCCTTCAAATGATTGTCATTTTGTGTTTGATTAGGTGGATGTTTCAGCTGAGGAGTTTCACACAAGTGTTGAAATCACCACAATGCTCCAAGGAGACATAGGTTGTGTTATAGAACAGTTGCTTGAATTCATGCAGCAAGCTAAATGGCAATTTGCAAAAGCATCCCCTTGGTGGAAGGAACTGAATGAGGCCAAAGAAAAGAACCTGAAACTTGTTCAAGTAATGTTTTTGTAATATTTTCAGGAAACCTTATGTTGCAGCAAATGCTTAAAGAACAGATTTTTCAAAGCATATTCTTTTTCAGGCTATGGCCTTAGATGCCTCTGTGCCTCTCAATTACTACACTGTCTTCCATCACATTCAGCAAGAACTCCCATCAAGTCTGTTTGTTTTTTTTTTTCTGAATCTATTGGGTTTAAAAATATTGAAATAATCTACTATCTTTATTTGAAATGACAGATTACATATTGGCATGTGAGGGAGCCAACACAATGGACATCAGCAGAACAGTACTTCAACATGCTCTTCCAAGGCATCGCTTGGATGCTGGAACATTTGGAACCATGGGTGTTGGGCTTGGTTTTGCCATTGCTGCTGCTCTTTATTGCCAGAAACATGAGCCAGGCAAAAGAGTTGTATGTATTGAAGGGGATTCTGCTCTTGGATTCTCTGCCATGGAGACTGAAACAATGTTCAGGTAACAACAGGCTCCCCATTTAGGTTTTATATTTACTCCTCCCTTCCAGGCTAAGAAAATCCCCCCTCTCCTTTCCTTTGCTCAACCATGATCCATCACCTACATAAGTATACTAGAGTATTAAACTTCATGTATAACAAATATTAATACTTTTGACCTCCAAGCAATAGTGTCTGCTTGTCTAGGTAACATCAATGCTATCAAGAGTTGCTAATTTTTAGAGTAGGATTTGGTCCCATGTAGTTATTTGAGTTCCCTCTTTTCAAATCTGATATGATACCACAAGTGAAATGGTATCATGTATAGCAATCCATACCACAATCCAGGGGCAATCTGATTTGGGGAGCCGCACCATACCATTGCCAAGCATCATGCATAATGGCAAAGGTTGTTTTTCAAGAAGTCTCTTCCCTTTATATGAAATGCTTTTTCACTTTCACTCTTGCAGCAAGTGAACATTGCTATTTTGGGCAGAGGTTGTTTTCATTTGACATCAATCATTTCTCTGACTATGATTTTTGATAATTCCATTTCTGTACATATTGGCAGATACAAGCTCCCTGTGATTCTGATCATCATCAACAATAATGGGATATACAATGGGTTAGATCAAGCTGCATGGGATAACATGCGAGAGAATTCTGATGTCCCTCTCACACTCACGTGCGTTCCCTCCTTAAGCACTTCATCACTTGATTGGAAATTATGAAAAATATTTTTTAACTTGATTCACTTTGCAGGACCCCTCCAAATTGCCTCTTGCCAGAGTGTCACTACGAAAGCTTGGCAGGGCTTGGAAGAGGTGTAGGTCGACTCTGTCAAACCATACCCCAGATTCAATCTGCTCTCAGAGAGGCTCTAAGTGTGAGTTGTTTTCAAGTCCTTTATTCAGTTGAATTTTCTCAGATTTATGCATTTAAAGTGTGTGCAGGAAAATATATAAACAAAATCACAGTACTCCATGCAGTTGAATAGCTATCAACAGAAAAACATCTCTGCCTCAAAATGTTTCAGTCCCTATTTGTCTCAAAATTCTATTGTGAGAAGTTTTATGGACACATGGTCAGAAACACGTTTTTAAATCTCTTGTTCCTTTCTCTCAAGACTCCATCTCCCTCTTTCCAGATGGCTCCCTTTACTTTTTTAATGAGCAGACAGATGGTGGAACCTTACCACCAGCTTGGACATGCTCTATTTTACAATGAAGTCAATACAGATTCACCCCCTCCCCTACCACATTGTCAGATCTTTGATTTGGGTTATTTAAAAATCAAACCCCACTATCAAAAGATCTTTTGTCTTGTATTGTCCATTAGAAGATCTATCTCCTAGTCATTTCATAGCCAACACTCTTAAGTGCCTTACTACCTGGTTTTAACCATCTGCTGAAAATGTGCAACAGTGATGATTTTGGTCCTGGATCACAATCTGCTGGCCAACACATGACTTCTAGTTCAGATCCTCCCTCATTGATTTCTGTCTTTTTTTGCTTGCTATTTTCAAACCATTGTTCTTTCTCAATACAGACTCTTTCTTTACTTCCATTTATCCTTTGTTGAACTTGAGGCTCAACTTTAATAAGGCTACAGAAGTCTTTGCTGGACTCTATAATCCTGTTCATACAAGTTGGGGGGGGGGAAAGAGTCAATCTGTCCTCATGCCATTATATGCTCAAGGAAAAGCATCAAGTTGTGACTCTTAGCAGACCCTAGCACCTTGCATCAAAACTAAGGATTAAAAAAATGTAGACAATAACTGTTTATTCACAAGGAGGTGTCACAAAACAGTATTTTGGCCTTGAGATGTTAGATGTGCAAATGCCCTGCAAAAAAGAGAAAAAGACCTTCATCAATCTCTTAATCACATTTCTAAAGGTACTCTTATGCAGATATACATTAATATTTTTGGAATAGACATTCATATGTACCTTATGATGAGGCTTTTTCTATGCAAAAAATTTTAATTAATTAAATATATTCAAGGTTGTGGTGGATCTACATGTATAGTCAGGCCACTCTTTAGGCTGACACCAGCTAATTTTGCTGCCCCCATCCATCATCCTATTTATGGTGGGGGTGATCCTGAGAGGAGTGCTAACCAGAAAATCAGAGAACCCTAAACTTTTTATTGCCCCAACCCCATTAACTTGAGGGCTTGCTTACAAAGCTGCAAAGGAAAAAAGTTTTTTTTTTTCACCCTTTGCATGACAGTGTCCTTTTGTGTCATTGTTCCTTTGATTGTCAGCCTAAAGAGTGGCCCTACTATGTAACATTTATCATGTCTTCCATGACTATTTAAAGTTATATTTGATGACTTCTGAATATTGGATTCAATTAGTCCCAGTACAGAAGCCCCCTTTTTTTTTAAATGTTGTCCTATTTTCAGATTCAAGATGCTCCAACTATCATCAACATCATGATTAATCCCCTATCCCAGAGGAAACAGCAAGACTTTGACTGGCTGACACGTTCAAAGATGTGAAAAACTGGTTGATCTATATGGAAGTCATTCTTCACTCTTGGGGAAACTACTCTATTTCATCTATCTTTTAAATGTCACCATAAAAAACCATTTGACCATTACATCCATTACATAATAGCCATCACATCTGAAATTGGATGTTGTGCTCATTTATGAGGGTGCTTTTCTTCTAATTGCTGATTTACCAATCAGGTTTTTCTTCATGATTCATCTGTGATATTGTTTTGGGATGCTATATATGTACTAACAATACACTCCTGGCATTTATTGAAGGAAATATATTCTTTTACACTTGCACTAATATGGTTTGCTTGACAACTCCATATGACATAACATACCTGTACTCAGTGTGTGGCTGAATGTGTACGCCTGTACCAAAATCGGGCCCTGAAATCATCAGAACATGAGAGAAAAGCAGGAGACACTGCTGAATGGATGAGGTACCGCACTGGGCCATTGTGACCTATTGAAACAGAACCCATGCATGAAATCTGATTCCTCAGGATAGAGTTAGCAAAAAAGACTTTGGGCACATTTTCAAGCTAACCCAAGGACAGAAGTTTCTTGCGAGCTGCATTCCGAGAATCCCAGGCACAGAGGGATATGGTAGCTTCATCAGGAAATAGAACATAGTCCTCTGTGTGGTTGAACACTGCATGTGCTCTGTGGTTTTGTTTCCCTGTGAAGAAAAGAATTCACTTAGGGATGCATGCATGAGCTTCAAGAACAAGGCTACTCAAGCCTAAATGTTGCAAACCATACCTGCAGTACCAGCTCCAGTGTATGCAATGAGGCAACGACTAGTAGACAACTCCCACAGCTTCACCAATGAGTCCTTCCCAGCTGACAGCACATACTGCACCACAACAAATTAATTTATAGAGTTGTATTGGTATGTATGATAATCAGGGTACAGGTTACAATGAATTCTAGATGGTGCCCAGTCAACCACCAAAATTACCAGTAGGTCACAACCTTTACCAATTTGGTGGCTACTTAGGATTCATTTGGAATATACATAAATTTCTGCTATAGCTTCTGGAATATCAACATTGAGTGAGGCTCACAGCACTAACCTTGAAAATTAGAAAACCATTCCAATATATTGGTTAAGTACTTCATTCTTATGGGACCCAGGTTTAGCCCTCTATAAGCTTCTCTGTCCCTAACACTGTTCAAAATTTTAATGTCAATTTAACTTCAAGAAATCTTACAATTTGACTTTTTTTTTTCCATGTTGCTAATTTTAAATTCGATGATCTGAACCATCCTGTATATATAGGCCATAGGCATTTGCCCATGCAGAAATAAATGTTGGTAAGGAATCACATTTCATGAATCTTTTGCCTGGTGAGATTCTCTCTGAGATTCTCACTGCACTGGATTATGTAATCTTTTTTGCTAAACTGGTGGCTTCCCTTACTATCCAGATGTGGATGTTAGGTAACTGGAAATTCCTAGTTTGCAACAGTATTGGAGAGATGGAGGAGAGAACAGTTTACCTTTCCATTTCTGGAGTACATTACAGAACAAACTTCTATGCCTTCATGTGCTTGCTGGAATGTATTTATACAACGGTTGGACACTGCATCCCAGATCTTGATAGAGCCATCTCGAGATGCACTCACATACTGCTTGCCATCATTTGAATACCTGCCAAGCATGGATTAATTCATGGAACCTTTGTGCAATAAAGATACAGAAAAAATTATGATAGAAAAGGAGACAAACTTTATGAACAAGACAGCTCCCTTGTGCTGATGAGCTGGTATGCTACAGACATAGCATTGACCAGTATTGACATCATACAAACGAATCACAGGATGATTTGTGGCAGCCAGCAGGTAGTCACCTGAAGGGTGGAAGGAGATGCAGCGAACTTGGTCTGCATCCTGCATATAACAAAATTCATAATTGAAAATGCACACAAAAGGTGTGTAAAATAAAGAGAAAAGAGACACACAGTGTATGTTTTTGATGCCTTTTTGGCAGATGCTTTTGCATAATCAAAGATTTTGATTGTGTGATCTCGAGATCCTGATGCGAGGAAGGGAAGAGTAGGATGGAACTGAAGTGTTGTCACTTCCTCAAAATGGTCATAGAGTGTCCTGATAACAGGATGACCCTGGACTTCATTTGCAGGTCCACTTGTGCTTGAACCACCTTCAGCATCTGGAGCAGACTTTGCCAGCATTCGCTCCACATCCAATATCTGAATTTAAAAAACTATATGCTAGAGGCCTGAACATAAAGCTGATGGCAAAGAATTCAATGACAATTCAAGAAACAAAGCTTTACTTGGAGAGAATGTTATCTTTGACTCTGTCTGAAGCCAGAAACATTTCAAAGTTGGTCTACTTATAGTCATGCAAATCCCTTATGAGGGATAGCTTTTTGCTGTTGTTAATGGAGCTGGGAGAGGCCATATAGGCATATATAATGTCACATCATTTCCAAAAATTCTGATAATATTCCATGATTCTAATAACATAGTTAGTAGGAGAATGAAGTTATTACTCAGAAAGTCCTGTTCAAGTTCCTGCCAGAATATCAGAAGTTCTACTTGAGGCCAAAGCCAAATTTAAATTTGAAAAAGTGCATTGTTCTCTAATGATTCAGAGTTTCTTTTGCATCCTGGTCAAGTTTTCATGTGGTTCAAGTGATCAGGCTTGCAGATAAGCTAGTAAAATTTAATGGATGCAGCCAGAATTCAAGAACCTTATAAGAACTGTTCATTGCAAGGCCAAAATAAAATACACAACTTTTATCAGTTACATGAAGGCAGATATTCTAACAGGGTGAAAAAAAAAACTTTACTCCTCATTTACTTCTCATATATTTTATACATGTCACTTTTGATAGGTCCATCAGTAATATAACATTTTATTTTCCAAAGATGCACAACAAGCCACATGGACTAAAGTCACTTCACTTTTCAGTAAAGATGTAATAGTTAAAAGGTAGGTTTTGTAAATCATCTGACCTTGAAGTCAGAACTTCTGAGGCTTTTCTTGCTAGCTTCAGGAACCATCCAAGTAAAACACAGCAGTGATAAGTGTGACTTTACATATGCAACCAGTTTTTAACTAATTTTAGGAGATTGTCAAGGTCAGCTATTTTCTCATGAATTTTCTCTTAAAAGTGAACTAGCCTCACAGGTGAAGAAATACCTTAATGGAGGCATCAACACTTCCAGTGGCACAAAGCTGACCATCAGGACTGAAGGCACCAGCTCTGCAGTTGCCTTTATGAGCTGTAACATAGGCTGTTTCATATAGGGCTGGTTCAGGAGCCGACACTGGCACTTCAGTCTCAAATTCCAGATCAAGTCCAGGTCCTAGGATGGTTGAATCCAGTCTATTTACTGTCTTGGAGTCTGCAACACATAAGAAATTATTCAGGCTTTTCCCAAGGAGGGCATAACGGAAGTGAAGCAGCAATACACCAAACGAACCCTTCTCTTTCTCCAAACCAATCGACACAAGATTAAGCAAGCGGTCTGATGGAGGGCATGGCTGGCTCACTTGCACCATATTGGATAATTGCACAGCCAAGGCTTGGTGTCCATCATAAAACAGTTGACTGCCACACACAAAGAACAAGAAGAATGAAACAAATTCAGCTTCAACACCAACCACCAACTAGGCTCATGGCCTGTTACAATTTCAGCCTAATTATCATATCCACCTTATCATGAGTTTGTAGACTTGGTCCCGGAGCTTGACAGGAAAGGTTGCTGAATCTCCAGTACCAGTTCCTCGTTGATTCCGTTGATCCCCACCGGCATTCACAATAGGTGCCATATCCTCAACTTGGTCAATGGATAGAGCCTATCCAATCTCAAGACCAACACTTGACTTAGGCTTATTATATCTACATTGGGTTTCGAAAGAAAAAAACAAGCTGTTCAGGCACAAAAATTATAGTCCCAATCAGTCTGGATACTCTTTTTGGTACAATAAATACTTCTGATTGGGAAGTAATTCAATGGTAGCACTTGTAAGCCCTTCAAACACATCTCCTGATGAAAGCTTGTATGACTGTTGGCTGCTATGAAAGGAGAGGAAAATGAATCCCATTCACCTGAGTTGCCCATAAAATTTAATGGAAATGAATTTCAATCACTACATTCAATGCAAACACAGATTGCACAAACTTCTGAACTTTCAATCAAAATTCAGTTTCAAAAAGCAAATATAATATGTAATGCTTTCTCTCCATCCCTTTTTATTCAGCTTTTGATTGGCAGGGAAACTATAGGGCACTGTGATTGACTCAACAGGGTAAAACCATTTAAGTCTGGACATTATCATGTACATCATTACAAAACCAAACCTTGGTGAACTCTCCTTCAGAAACAGTTCTTCATAGCTTGGAAGAGCTATTCCTGAGGGTGACCTCGCAAATGCTTTACCCTATGCGAGTTACATCAATAATTAGAAAGCCATCCTAGGTGGAAAATAAATACAAAAATCAGTTTCATTTGTTTTGGACAAGACATCGAAGGAAAGGAAAGGCAAGGCTTTGACGTCTATCCAGGCTCACTCCATACGCATAACCTAGATTGGATAACTGCAGTCTTGCCTTGAGTCTTCCCATCAGACCACACTCTAGCTCTAACTTACATCTAAGCACATTCAGTCTATTTCCAGGAAGGCACTCGAGACAACTTTAAGTCTCTCGTGGTCACATCCTCCCAGGGTTCGACACAGATGAGGGCTATGTCGGTTTTTTTCAACTCTCAATCCAACCTATGCCCAAATGCTGCCTGCAAGGGAGGCGCCATTGCGAGTGACATGGAACGCCACCTACATGTGGTGGAGGAAAGCACTTAACTGCATTATCGCATGTCTTGCCCATTATGTTACGTACTGCACCGATTCCGCCGCGGCCTGGTTCCGGACAAAAGTAAACCCGATCGGTTTCCTTCACAGACCAAATGGACCAGCTTGAATATCAAGTTCACTCCTGTTCAACATGATCTGCTCCAATTGTTACCGCTTGAGTACACCGAAATGACGCAAGTGTGGGACATCCCGATCCTCGCGGAGAGATGTTTCGCACATGTACGTCGCGAAAAAAAAACCACTTATATTCGATAAAGCTTCATTTTCGCTTCCACAAGGAGAGTCAACGATGACCTGGTCACTCGAAGGAGTGCTTCAATAAGGAATTGCTCCAGGTGTCGCTTATTGACTGAGCAAGAGGTACTCTGTAGGTAACGAAAAATATGCATATATACTTATGTTTAGAGAAGAAAATCGTTTGTATCCGCTGAGGCAGGCTTCATCACTGATGTAGAGAGGAGTGGGCGGGGCTGGACGCCGCCAAGGCACTTTTTTTCTGGGATTGGGCGTGCACAGAGATTTCTTTCCTCGGAAAAATACATTATATAAAAATTTTTGAGCTGTGTCCGCGCGGAGGGCCCCTCCCCTCCTTCCCTTCCTCCCTCCCGTTACTGCATTTGCGAGGTTACTCCAACTAAACCCCCCCCTCCCTCCGATTTGTCTCTTGTCTGCCGCTGTTTGAATTGTTTGTCTTTTAGTCCGCATGAAAGAGAAGCCTCGGAAGTACTTCCCATTGCTCCTTTAAGATTCGAATCCCACTAAAGTAAGCTCTTTCTCCTAACAAAAGTAAGCCCTTAACGCGATTTCGGCACAAATCGAATGAACGTTATCCGGGAAATCCCTTTCCCCCCTCTCCTACCCCCGCAAGTACTTTTTGAAATAGGACCACACCCTTGGGCTTCATTCTTGGAATTTGACGTGGACAGTGCCACCATTATTTTCATCTTGCAGATCGGATTCGAAGAGAACGATCAGCTCCTGAGATCGTAGCAGTTCTACCAACACGTCCCAAGAGAGCTGTTTTGTTCGAATCGGTGCCCTTAGTTCCCACAAATATGTAAAAATTAATATTGGCTATGGCCATTTCGGAGCGTGCTTTCTTTAGAGCCCCATATAAACCCGATATCGGAGTGTGTCGACGCTTCCGTTGTATTGACTTCCACTCTGGTCTTTCATTGGGAGAACGTATTTTTATGCTCCTAAGCGCTCAAAAAAAAAACACACACACACACACACAATTATTTTCAGTTGCTTAGGAGCTTTGGTCAGAAAAATGACCAGATTAATGGAACCACTTAAAAAGAAACAAGAGCGCTAACTACCGTCGATTGGGAATCGCCGTTTCGCAATACAAAATCTCGGCCGCTGCCATTACGTAACTGATCGGCCATCCGTTCCGCTCCGACAGCGGTCAATTAGATGCACTCAATGACTAAAACGCAAAGTGTGTGACTCGATGGACTTGGAGATCTCGACGGGTATCATAAGTGTGCCGAGAATGGATGGAGCTCGTGCGTGAGCGTGAACGAAAGTCGTAACAGTGGGTAGTTGCGCGGAAAAGAGGTATACTTATCCGTTAAACTCTGCCCGGCAGGGGATCCTTCATCCTCGCGATCCCCAGGTGGAAGCCAACAATAGGAAGACAGTCTTTATTCACGAGAGTGGCACCCTGGTCTGTGGAACAGAGGAGCTTCTTCAGACGTGCCAAGGATTTCAAGGATGGAGCGCACCTTCAGGGTAGACGAGGGGCGGACTGGGAATGCTGCGGATGCATTATTAGTAGGCAGGTGAATCCCCTTCCCGGCGTGTTTGAACCATTGCTTACATGCATCTATCATTCGAGATAGGGACAGTCTAGAAATCGCTGCGAGAAATCTCGTACCCAGGAGGTCCTTACCATAGCGTAAACAATGTCTTATGTGCTCTAACCAGTGGGAGTTCGATCGTTGACATGAAATGTATTCACGTAGTTAGCGAAAACGAATTCTAACAAGGTTGCAATTGATCAGAGTGCTAGGGCTCTTCATGGACTTAATGGAGCCTCTCTTTTTGGGCAGAATTCAACGAATATGCTAATTTGCGCTACGATTATTAGTTTATTATTACTATTTGAAACTATCGTGTTGGAGCCTCAATGTTCCAGTGTTGATGGGAGGTATAGCTCCATGAGTCATGTACAAGGGAATCCTCCAAAAAAAAAGTCGGCTTTAAGCAAAGAAAATATACTGGCAGGAGAAAGAGACGTGCACAACCATCCTTAACTGAAAGCTCCAAACTTTTCTATGGGCCCCAAGACTCTATTACGGTGTCGTCTGTTCCATGAAGGGGCGAGTAGCTCTCCAAATCCGGCGGCCAGGCATCGGACACCACTTCCGTTGAAGTTTCGAGATAAAATATCCGCATTATTCAACGTTCTCCGGAAAGACTAGTGGAAAGTTCAAAACAGATAGGGATCTCGTCGGTTTCACGATTGCATCCAACCTATAGTGATCCGCTCGAGTCGCGGGTCGTCGGATCTCTAAGCCACCCGCTAATGAGAGAAAAATGAAGGCAAGGATAAGGACACGTCAATCAAGTCGGTCATGCTGGATTGCAACCTCTCTACCGACTTCCCGTAGGGGGGATGCAGCCTTCCGCCTTCTAATTTTAGGATTTTTGGGGTTAAGGGTCGTAAGAAAGAGGCACCGCCACGGATTTCCGTTCTTGCTTCCTCTCTCCCTTCATTAATCATAGTATTCCATCTTGTCCTAGAACTGCCTGACATCTTAATGTCCTCCTATGCTCATGTCTCTTTCAACCCGCGATTGGAGCGGATACACTACACGACTTGGCATGCCAATCGGGAGATCGGGAAGTCGGTCATCTTGCCCGAGCCACAAGAGTCGATTAAAGCGCAGGGGAAATGGCCTGAATCTAGACGACCTTCGCATTGACGTCACGATGGATATCTGGGAATACCGTCCGACTTTCCGAACATTCCCTCTATTGAACTTTGCAGCTCAGTGTAGATAGTGTTGACAGTCGCTATCGAGTGGAAGATCTTAGCCTACTTTTTGGGTTTCTTTGCTGCGAATCTATGGGTCATGCTTCCAAAGCCTGCAAAGGCGTCTCTGATCGATAGTTCCAATGCAAGTCACTCCAGTCTGAAAAATCATATTGCGGAAGTGTTTCCCTCGTTCCCATTTTCCATTAATGCAATTTCCAAACACACCAGATGGACCCTGTCTAGTTCGAGGAGGAGAGGGGGGGGGGGGGGGGCGAATGCGGCATGTTCTGGTAGAGAAAGCGGAAGTCTCATAGCGTTCTGCTATATTCCTCATGGTCCAAGTGTGGTGGTTCAATAAATTGCATGAAAATGCTCAAACAGGGTTCATATCATATCTTCTTATATATATATATATTTAAAAAAAATCAAGAAACAAATACAATCTACGACGAAAAAGACAGAAGACAACTCGGGGAGGAGCTCTTTGAAAAACACGAAATCCATTGAAGGGGGGGGGGGGGATCGAGCTTAAACCAATAACTTTTTCTAACTCATTATCACAACAAGGAGAGCTCCCCAAATGTGAGATCTCATCCTTTTTTTTTCCAAATTCGTCGTCGGATCCACGGTTGAAGAAGACGGAACACCTTTGCAGAGCAGAGGCGTGGAATCGGCACGTTCTGACGGAAACAGCATGATGAGGGAGACGTGGAGGATATAGTTTCTGACGAAAAACACGGACTCACGCACTGCACACACGCACCCGTCGTACGATACTTAACGCTTCGAATGTTGACCCCATTCACAATGGGCTAAGAAAAGAAAAGAACTGGGCTCCCACTGACTGATTTCGTGGAATGGAGAACCTGAGAAGCGGTTTCTCTTTAGATGGGGAGGGGGGGGGGGGGGGGGGGGGGGGGGGGGGAAAAAAAAAAGGATGAGATCTCACATTTGGGGAGGGGGGGGGGGGGGGCAGGTGTTAGTAGATGGGTTAGGTCGAAGTTGACGTTGGTACTGGTCACACGGGACCGAGCCTGGACGAGAAGGAGGGATGGCGGATGAGGAGAGGCAGGACGACGGCCAGTCCGACCAGAACCATCCCAAGGCTGTTTATCACTATCCCTTCTTCCTCTCCCCTCTGATACCGTCCCCCTCTGCAATAGATTTTTTTTTCGTTCATCCACTCAAGAGGATTAAGATGTTAATCGATAGTGACCATCCAGAATTATCCAGGGAATCAGTGACCGGCATGCAAGAAGGGGACAGAGAGAGGAGAGCATGCACCGAGATCCCAAAAATAATAAAATGTGCTGGTATTTTCTTGCATGCCAAAAAAAGTCCGGATTTCAGCATCAGGTTTCCCCCAAGAGGAACCCCACAAGGAACACACTCATTGAGAGGAATATGGTTCTACATTCGTTTTTTCTCGTCTCTCTTTTTTTTTTGCTTTGTCACGCACAAGGCCATTCTCTGTCAAACAGATGTAGAGTTTCTCTTTCAGACTCAAAGTCGATCGTTGGCTAGAAGTACGGTGGTACTTCGTCGGTACCGGAAGGATTCCCGATAGAGGATGTGAGGCATGATAATGCCAAGGGCGGCGAGGACCATGGCCAAGGCGTTGATCACATACGCCTCGTTGGGGAGAGCACTGTATGCCGGAGTGTTTTCTCGACCGCTACAACAGATACAACACAACACACGCACGCACCCACCGCATTACATCTACCATACATACAAAACAAGGGCAAGGAAGAGAGGAAGACAGCAAGAAAACATCAAGCCGACCGCAAGGCGGTTTGCATACCCTCGTTTCTCCATGCTTCTAGCTACTCTACAGTATATCCCCGAGCATAACAGTTTCCCGTTATCACTTTCCCAGATCCTTCTGAACCCCGAGGAGAAGAATATTTAATTTCCATGTTCACGTATGTCGGTGACAAAAAAATTAGCTGAAAAACATAAGTAATAAAAAAAATTTTTCTTGCTAAAAATAATGATCACTGCAATTTTTTCAAAAATGCTTCCAACACCGCAAGCCCGATGACGATGTTTTCTTCTTCCTCTTTGTTCAAAAGAAGCTGAGAGGTCACAACGTTAACACTGTACAACTGCTATACATCCCAGATTAACATAAGGGAAATTGCTGCTCTCAAGTAATGGAAGGAAGCAAGTGACAAGCCCCTCGGGATGGATTTATTATTTATTTAAAACTATTTTTTACCTTTCAGACTCAGACTTGAACTTACTCCAGGCAATAAGGAAAAAACACCTGCTGCTCAACCAACTCGTAGACGCAAGAATAAATTTACAAGTAAAATAAATTTAGAAAATAACTTTTTATCACATATTCAAGAAGATGCAGAAAAGCTGAGCAGGATTTTTAAAGTTTAATTTAGTTTCATTCATGGTTTCAACGATAAAGGAGACATTGTCAGATTGGAGATCGGGATCTTGCTTCCTTCCACCAAATGAAGGCATACCGATACCCCCAAGGGTAAGAATAAACACTTTTGCAGGCAGACACTAATATTACTTCCGACTGACTCAAGATCTAAATAGTTCTAGGTTGTGATCTGTGCAATGAAAAGAAACTATGTAGTGAAATTCGTGTTTCTGAAGGTCTTGCAACTGCATGCAACAATTTCAAGTCATGGGATATGCAAACATACGATATTATTAAATTCAAGGTACATTTTCTAAAGAGAGAAAAATTCTTTGAGAGTAAGGAAATTACGTATGATTAAAAATCGACCAAAAGAATTTATGCTCCCGGATCATCCCCTCCTTGGATAACAATCGAATATGATCGATTGGTGTCACCGGAAACTCAGCAAATGCCTCCTGAGGCAGATGCTCAAAACTTTTTCGGTAGACCTATACATGGAAAAGGAGGAGCGACGAGTCGATGACCCTGCATAATAAGAAGGGAAAAAGAGAGATGATGAGAGTTTGTGGCCAATTACGCCTGGTGGGTTCCTTTCTTTGTTCGACAAGAGGGATTCCCTGAGTTTACAGTCCCATGACGAATCCCCCTATCACCAGTCATCACTCCATCAGAACATCTGCTTTTTTCTTTTTTTTTCTCAATACAAGGGTGACCTTTCAAGGCAGCTTCACATCTCCTTCTCCCTTCTGTTTGCGTAACTGTTTTTTGCGAAAGCTAGGGTCTATTGACTCAACCTTCGAGTTCTTCAAGTCAAGCAAAAAAAAAAAAGAAGGGGGGAATTGAAGGAATGAGAATGGATTATATTGCACGTACTGAAGAGAGAAGAAGGCCTTCTCGGTGAGGCCGGTGACAGCAGTGGCGATGGCCAGCATGAACGTGACGAGTCCCATCGTCCCATGAATGGGAACCAGAGCTGCGCGGAATCCCGCCGTGGGACCCTCACAGCACAACAGGATCAGAAAACTGAAGAATCCCACGACAAACTGCAAGAGAAAAGAAAAAAAAAACAATAATTTAATCCACTGACGTTCGCGTATGATTCATGATGATCCTGATGAAAGAGAAAATGTCTCGTGTCACTGCGAGTCAGCGACCGTGAAACGGGAATGAAGGATGTTCAGATTATTAATCATAATCGAGTTGATGGATGGACTCGGAATCGGTTCAATTAATTTCAGGTTCAACATCCTCCAGTCATAGAATTAGACTCTTGCAAGCGCTGGCATCTCTTTCTTCCCTCCATCGGACTCCACTCCCCCTATTCCTTTGTCGTCTGCACTTATACTCGAAAGCGTTTGTGAATAAAATGCGATATAAGCGAAATTTGTTCAAGACTCGAAGTCTCTTCGGGATACTGCAGTAAACCCCGTTCAGTAACCTCTACCCGGCATGATCAATTAGTTACTAGCAACAGCGACTTCGAAGCTGCTGATGTTGCTAATAAAAAAAAAGGAAAAATGTCAAGAAATCCATATGAGGAATACCAAGGGTACGCAGTTGCACGAGTGGTACATGAATGGGAACGCTGGAATATCAATACCATTCGTACAAAGCAGACCAAGAATTGTGTGAGGTCACGTTCCCAAAAACGGCGAAGGGAGGGAGGAAAAAATCGTTAGCGAAGACATAAATCATCTGCAAGGAGGTCCACTCAATTGAATTAGTTACAGATGCATGAGGCATTGAAAAGCAGACTGTGGCATCCTTCAGAAGCGAATCTTAATTTACCTCTTTTTTTTTCATCGTACAGAGCTAGCCGCATGATCAAAAGGCTTACTCTATGTATGCAATAATAAGTGAATAATGACTCTGGCTTTTTAGTTTTTCCGTTTCCTATTTATACGATAAATCTTAGTCTGCCATGCACGTCTTCACTAAAACAAACGAAAAACTGCAAAGGGCTTCACCGAAGAGAAAATGCACGAACGATACCTCTGAATAGCTAGTACTAAAAGCTCTGAACTTGAAACCATACAAAGACGCGTCATCATGATACTAGTAACTTGTCGAAATCGTTCCAGTAGTGTTTGCAGTGGTTCTACGACACTCAGTGGAACTTTTCATATGTAAGCACTATTCACTTTTCAGTGCTTTCGGTTAATTTTCAGCACTAGGTGCTAAAATGCACACCACTGTTAAGACGAATCCATACAAAAAGAGGTTTTTTTTTTCAGAACTCAGAAAAAATTTTCAGCATTCACATATACCTTTTGGTATGATTAGTACTGGCAATAAGACATCACTATAGAAGATAGGCATGAGACGAGAGGCGAGTCCATCGGTCCATGTAGCACTTTCAGTTCTTGCTTAGTTCTCGCCCCCCCACCCATAAATAAGCATGACATTGATTGCCACTGTTAACTATTCTGCGTTTCATGTAATGTGAGACAAATATAAAAATAAGATGCTTCATCATGCGGTAAAATGAAATGTGCTCGTACAAATGCATTATGCAGACAGATGAGGAAAATTCACATATAATGGGTAATTTTCAGATCCAGCTGGTCAATTGATGGCATCGACCCAGCTAGCGTTTATAATACATTGCTGTGGTTTCCAGCTGTTTTCAGAGCATGGAATGCATATGTATTTACAGCTGCACACCATCTTGAAGCCAGCTGAGATTTAGCCAGAATGGGATTTATTTCCTTAATCCAGCTGTTGTCATAGGTAGACTCCAGCTGAAAACAGAAAGCGAAGCCAAGCGAAATCCATCTGGGATATTCCGATTGATCGATCGCAGACTAGGGTGGGGATAACAAAGAGCAGACTCATGCCTTAGGGTAAGCCCACCGGTACCCTCCATCGGTACATGTCAAGATCGGTTTCGTAGTTTTTGCTCCAGGTGCTTTGCAGGAGAGAGTGCACCGAGCACTTTCTCTTCGCACGTTCGATGGCTAGACCCGAAGAGTATGACCACCAATCATGTACTTCCAGATCTCCAAAAATACTGGGAGCTGGTGCATAGAGTTGGGTGCGAATTAACATTGGAAATGAAATCTAGGCTGCGACTTCCACTCTAAGGCAGTATCTGGTCTTATAACGAAGACCATCTGCCTCATTTGGAGGCGCTGAAAAGACATCCCCATTCCACACATGCAACTAATGAGCTTCTCCTGCGTCACGACCATACGAATGAATGTCTTGACCTCGGTCCTCGAAATAAAAATTTAATCCGGAGCCGTACTTCTTCTCCAGGGAAAAGCAACCACAGAAACGAAAGTAACGTAGGTTGGGATCCCAGACATTCTATGGAAGCAAACCAGCCAGCCTTGTAGATGTCAGGGACTTTCGTTCTCGAAATCACAAAATGTGACTTGGGGAAACGAAATGGAGCGTACCAGAGTCCACGTATCCACTTCTTCCTGATCTCAACCACTTTTTCCTTTCAATTTTCATTTCACCTGTGCAAATGGAAGGGGAAGGAAAGGAAAGAGGCACGATACTAGCTTTGGGGGCAGGTTACTTTTTTTTTTTCCGGACTTCCCGTCATTCTGAAAAGGGACGTGAGAATCTGGTCGACCCGTTTCTCAAACCCCCCACTCTTCATCCATTCTTCCCCTATTTTCCTCCTTGGTTCTGTTGCTCCCCTCCCCCTTCCTCACATCATTTCCCGCATGCCTTCCTCTAATAATGCAGCCATGCAAGCAACCCTTACTACGGTCACATGGACTCCGTAAATGCGACATAAAGTCGTATTATCTCCTTGCGCTTTAGAGTATTTGTGTAATCATGTCAAATTCCCTCAAATCAACACAAATGCGGATTTCCTCAATTCGCTCGCAAGTTTTGGTTTTAGTTCGCAAGTACGTCGCACTAACTAAATGAGGTTGAATTTCCACGTTAACGCAAAACATGATGAAACACGCAATTGGTTTTCCATGGAGCGAATTTGCATGCATTTGGTGAAAATGGAAAATCTGGGGGCGAGAAACAAGGAAAATAATAGAAATGGCTGCTTCCCGTTATTTCAAGGCAAAACCAGAAGATGCATCAATTCCGTGTAGCTTTATGATCTTGGCTTACGACCAAATGTCAGGCGCATCATCGTGTGATGGTAGTTTGAATGGAACGGACGCCGAGAGACCTCGCCGTCAGAGGCTGTCACTTTGACAAGAGCAGTCAATGCCAAACACGTGCAGGAGATTAATTCCATTTGATGTGAGCGCGCAGTTAGGGTACTTCGGCATGAAAGTACTGAAACTTAATTCATGTCATCGTCGTTAGAGAAACGATCTCCAAAGATTTGGCATTACGCTCGCCTGAGTTAATCGGCTGAGATAAGTCCATATAACCGTAGTATAAGCCAATGAATACCTAGGCGAATGTAAGCAACCCAATGACCATCTTCCATCGATGCCATCCTCCAATGGAGAGGAATAATGAAGGCTACTGTCAGTAAAGGAAGGTAATTCAATTCTGGGTCTAGTCTCCACCACTCAGGTAATTTGAATCAGTTATACACAGTACCAACACCATGCAAGTAGGTATAACACCCTGAGAATGTCCAAGACATTAACCCTTTCAGTCATGAATGACTATGTTGAGGTATATGAATGAAATTACGTCAGTTAATTTAAAAATAGTGCATCCATAGATTCATTCGTGAAACCTTGCGTTTAAACATGGAACGCACTCAGACAAGGTCATGCAATAACTATTACAACTGATGTGACATATGATAATGGTTGCGATCATCAAGATAGCCAACACTAAGATGAAATATTCCTTCAATACTATGATTAGTCTTTATACAAACAGAACCCAGTAGAGTTCACTGGAGAACAATTGACTGAAAGGGTTACTATGAAATCAATGGTGAGTGCGCTATGGGGGATGTGTGAGAACTCAGATGAGAGAAGAATATACAACCCAAGGGCGGGGATGCATTACCGAACGAAATACCTGGAGTGCGAAGAGTCCCATAGTGACAAGTCCGAGCCAGGAATGAAGGGAATAGAGATTTGGAATGGGGGGACTGGCAAGGTTGTGGGAATCGAAGACGGTGATGACAGCCACAGCGATGCATGGAAGGGCACACAGGTGGAAGATCGTGTGCACTAGCTTGTTGTAGATGCGCTTGCAGCATCGGCATGACCGGTACACCAACAGAGCTGCCACACAGCATTTTCAAACATTAGGCTTCAATCAATATTCAGAAGACACTAAGTCATTCAATAGTTCTTGGTCAGATGCTATCAAAAAGCAACGGGGCAACGTAATCATTATGCAATACAGAATAATTGTTACGATCAACTGCATAATTTAGATAATTTAAAGGGAAACTGTACCTCTGCGAGAAGACTTAGAAATGAAGCAATAAAGCCGCACTTTTGTTAAAGACCCTCTAATGAATGGGTGAGTAATATAGAAGAGTAGTCTCGCGGTGGATTTGGAAACTCCTCCACTTTCGCGGCTTAGAGCCACACATGCCGTAAGAAATGAAAGAAGTGATACCATAAATGGTATGGTGAGTAACATCAGAATTGAATGGGAACGTTATGTAATTGTAATGCACGAGGGACAATGGGGATGTTCCAGGTATATGTACGCCACAGCTATAATGGATTCACTCATCCACGTGGACAAACCAAGCAATAGTTTCAAGGACAACCTCCTTGTGGTCTGTGATAATGCGACTCTGTGGGCATTCATGGATGCCACTTTCGGGGCCAAGTGTGAATGGCATTGCGCTGGAGGAGGAAGTACGATACAAAAAGAGTTTTATAATGAAAAATAATTTTCCAACCAGACCTGCTCATTTAAATCAACCGTTTTTAACCAGACCTGCCCTTCTAAATTAATCAGGAGCCGGTCTAGAAATATTTGGGTCAATTACATAGCTGCTGCTCTTCTTCCGGGTGGTCTTCTCGCATATAAAAAAGTTCAGAAATCTAGGACTGCACCGCATGGTACGACCGGTCAAAAAAAAGGCCTCGCCGGCCAGGAGATCCAACTGCCTCTACTGAAGGACGATACGACCTTCAACCAAGGACGTTTCCTCATATGAGGAACGTCAATCATTTATATAGAAAATAAAAAAAAGATATATACTGGGCGGAGCCATGTCCAGTAATGAACCATCGTTGAGCACACACTGTCGTAGATGGCACAGGCGAAACGACGGAGGATATGAAGAGTAAAGAGTGGAGGAGGATAATACAAGAGGATGCGATACTTAATAGGGATAAAGTGCGTCAGGATGGTACAGGCAAAAAGAGAATGACTATCCGACCTGCTCTCTTCTGCGCCGTGAGAGTTCAGCAATTTAAACTTTTCCGGACTAGATCTCATTGAAATATCTTAACTAGACCAAACCCTCCCGCCGATACGAAGGCGTCCGGCCGATTGCTTCAGGCATTTTGTTTTCAAACAAGGACACTCCCAAAAAAAAACTTACCGTGACCCATGAAGAATATAAAACCGGCAATCATGAGGGTGGGATGCAAGTTGAATTCTTTTTTAGGGTCTTCCGTCCAAGCAAAGCCACCCTGGTACTGCATGACCCAGTAAATGACCAGGCCCAGGGCCCCCCAAAGGAGCACGACGGCTGACAACAGGAGGACTCCGAAGCTGACTCTCGTCACCCCTGTCCATTCTCCATCCTCTTCGTCCATGCTCTTCCTGTGCCTAAAAAAAAAAGTAGGGGAAAATACTCACGTTAGGACCAGGTGCTTCAGTAGGTCACAGCTGCGACATGTGGGGTACAGAACCGAGACACGACGAATAAGCTAAGGGGGAAGCGAGGGAAAGAAACGACTCAAGGGCGATCCATGACTGGCAGGCACGACAGTTGTTACAGACTCCCTTGCATGAGTTTCAGGAAGAACACAAAAAAAAATTCAAGTGAAAACGATTTCTCACATTTCATCGCATGTTCTGAGAGTGAAACAGAGAGCTGCCCACATAGCCCGCAGGGAAACTCCATTGATTCGAATGAGAACAAAGAGACATGAGATAATGACGGTGTATTCAGATCTCCCCCAGAGGCACCAGAGGGGTCAACGTAACAGCACGCACCCTCCGGCTATGTCGGATAGAATAAGAAAGAAACTTCGTGAAGAGAAAAGGGGGGGATAAGGGCGAGGATCGGGAGACTGGGCGACATTGCTCCGCCACGAGCCCCGACCATAAAGGAATCCCTGAGGTCAGTGGGGCACTTGACCCTGAACTTTTCTCGATAAATACTGATCGTGTACTTCCACCTCTGGGCGTATTTCACGGGACGGTGGAGACATAAACGCTGACTATCGATCCGAGAAGTCGATTCGTTCAATTCCTCTCTCGATGGAATGTGACTGTGCTTATACCTCGCCTATGCTACTTCATCATCGTGACATCCGCGGTTGTAAAAAGGCGGAATTTCGTATCTTACTGTTTGGTATCGAGGGATGAGGGCAAAAGGAACAAAGACTCGGGTAACGAAATCCCCCCCGTCCCGAAATCGTGAAACACGGAAGGTCAACTCCTTTTTTTTTTCTCTATGGAAACCACTCCTTCACTTGCGGAGTTTCGCTCACGCGATAAAATGATCGGTGAGGAAGTGAGCTACGAAGAAGTGAGCTACGAAGAAGTGAGCAGAGAATAGCATGAAAGATTTTTCTCCACGGTACTTCCCGATGGAATTGTGCTCTGGCGACAACTGACGCCGAAGCGCGTCTCCTTTCTATCGACCCACTTTTGTTTTTGACGCCTCCATGCGTTTCCTATTAGGAAAAGGAATACTTCCCACGCTAGATTCGCCTTCAATCGAGCGCCAAAATTTGGTGGAAAAATGGATTTAATTGCGTTGGATTGCGAGTCTATAACGGTCACGCGTGGATCATTTCTTCCCTTTCACCTTTTTCCCACGGCAATATTTCCTAATAGTGACGTATGTGTGAATCAATGCGAGTCAAACATAAACTAGTTCTTTATCTTTTGGAGGGAGGGAAAGGTCAATAGACGGCCAAGCACTGCGGATGTCGACGAATTGATGGCAAGGAGAGCTGAATACAATGAAAAGAAGTCTGTCGTAATCGGCGTGGTTTAAATAAAAAAAAAGAAGCCTTTACAGAAGCAGACGCTCGTGACGTGAGGATTTCTTCCTCATTAGCCACGATGAGCCCTCGCAATACAACCCTGTATCAACCCGCCTGAAGAATGGGAGAGAACCGAATGCAGATCGCATGCAAGTTGTGTGCATGCATGGGCATGCCAATCCCCTTCCCCCTCGTGGAAATACGATCCCCGATGTGAAAGGAAATTAGATTGGAGACTCACGGGGCACCGGTGAACCGAGTTTCCCCCTTGGAATAAGGATCCATCACTTCACTGTTTCCGTTGGCAGCAGTCATATCGATTTCTCGCCTTCTCTATTCACGCACGACGCAGACACGCACCTTCGCGAGTGCACGTGAGCCCAGCAGGGAATGAAGGCAATGCAGACTCACGACTACTTTTCTCTCCCGGTCTTGCCAGATCTTTTTTTTTTTTTGTTCCCGCCGATACTCTCTCCTTGCCCACATACTCCCACGGAAAATACGATTGCGTATGTTGGCATTGGCTCAGCCACGGTATATATCCACTCTGTTTCCACGTGGTTGAAAGAAGAGTTGCCGCATTTCCGGCTTTCCCCTCCTTTTTACATGGAAATATGAGCATAGACATTTCCCAGCTTCTTTTAAGAGGCTCAATTGGCCTCCCTCTTTCCGGATCTTCCGGGGTCCACTTCCCTTCCTTTCAAGCGCATACATACAAGATATAAATGGGGATGCCCGGGCTTCCAGCATAACCGATGCCTGGGCCATGCCAAATATGAAGATGAGGTTTTATAGACCCCCTCCATCTTCGGACGACAAAAGGAAATGAAGAAGGGATTGAAAAGGAAAAGCTCAATATATGGCATGGAAAATAAATTCATGGCAACGGAAGGAACTTTGTAGTCAATATAAAACAGTTTTCTCCAAGAAAAAGCGACCATGCCAGAGGCTTAAGAGGGAGGAAATAAAATGAATTTCTACTGTACGAGACAAGTCAGCATTTTTCTCCGTCCTCTGGCATGTCCCATGGAAGGAGTCTCTCAAGGCCCGTTTGAGTCTGTCCTGACGAGGAAGAAAAATGCGGATGTCTTTTTATGGAAGTCTTTCCTACCCCGCCTATAGGGCAGACAAGCTGCAGGGGCACACGCGACAAGGCTCCAGTGAGGAAAAAAAAAAAGCATGGGCAAGTCCCAAGTCATTCCTTCCCCCCTACCGACTATACAATAAACAAACAGGAAAGAGGAAGAAAAAGTCGAAGGAAAAAAAAAAAGAGAGATGGAAACAAGGGAGACGAAATGGATCCTCAGCCCCACCCCACGACGATGCCATGTCGTGGGAATCCAACATAAACAAGGTATTATTCACTCACCAAGACCTGAGATACGGTCAGACCACGCCAAAAGACCGCAAGACAACAAGCTAACGCTGACTCAGGTCGTTGGCACCAACCGAGTGAGAACGTAGTCGGAGCGCACACAGAATTTTAAAATTTTACGATCCTTTGCCATATTGATAAGGTGGGACACATCAATCGGCACGCAATCCCGAGACTCACCGATTCGTCATGTTATGGTGATTCGTGCAGAAAAAAGGAGGAACTTAAGCCAAGCCGAAGCCACACATAAAAAGGGAGTGAGAGCCTCAGACTGAGGGCTGACAGAGAGTTGCGGGGGGGGGGGGGGGGGGGGGGAGGGGAGGCGAAGACCGGTCTATTCGATAGAGAGCCCTGCGGCAAAGATTATTTCGACCTTGAAATCAGACAAAAACCGAGAAGAGACAGGGAGCGGAAGAGGCGGCAATTACGTCGGATGCACATCCGCCAAAACAAAACCCCTTTTCAAGGCCCGTTTTTATACAGGGAAGAACCACTGTTTCTGAGCAAAGCATGGAGAGTCGTCTCTTTCTAGATGATCGAATTGGAGCAATCCTGTTCGTGGTCGTGCTGGAACTAATGCATCCTAATGCGAGGGTCAGGCTAATCACATTTAGGGTCGCCATGCAGGGCTATCTCTATCTCTCTAAGTCATTCATCATAGAAACCATCCATTCCCTGCCCAAGAACGGGCGGGAATACTGGAGTTTCATCTTTTTCTTTTCCGCTCGAGATGCTATAACCTGTTGTGAAACGGAGAAAGGGATCTTCGAAGCAGTCCCAGAAACGAAAGGCTTCTTCATTCTTCTTTTGGATGAAGTGGAATGCCAGAGTGACGTCAGGTAGAACGAACACATTCAATGAGTTTCTTTTGGTCGTAATGTGTTTCACATGTACTTGCGACAGTAATAAAATCCGCAGGAGTCACCATCTTAACGTTCACGGCAGTTGCGCTCGCAAGCAACAGATGTCGTCAAGGAACACGGAGTTCTGGTTCCAACCACCAGATGTCGTCATATGGAACTGTAATAATTACTACACGGACAATTAATACATCGAAGCGTATCTCACCGTTATGGGGGAAGAAGCAACAGGTGAGAAATGAAGTCGAAGCATCGGCCTAAATTTTCCCCTCCCTACACTCGCGGCACACCTGCGACTAACCGACTTCAGCCTTTCTATTAATTGCAGTTGCGATTTCCTTTTTCTATCTCCCTTGTAAATCACTCCCCCGAGGGAGGGTAGGAAGTGGGAAAGTACTCAGTCTGCCGTAACGATATCTAATCCGGTTTTATCACATCTGCACAAGGGGGCCAGAACTTCCTGAGAAACTCACGGCGTTCCGTCCTCGTTGACGAGGAAGAAGGAGTCGCGTCCCATGATGAAAACTCCAGACGGGCAGGAACAGAAATGCCGAGACAGACAGGAGAGGAGACTGAGCGGAGGAAGAAGTGTACATTGAACCGGGGCTGTCCTGTAAATGGTATGGACCTCGCCCTGTGCCAGGGATGTGTGCCCCCAGGCAGCATACGCCATTCTTGACTTGTGCCTTCTCCCATCTTCCCTTATACGATGATTATACACCCCCCTTCTGCCCCTATCAAGCTCCGATATCAAAGCCTATGTTCATCCCCTAATGCGTCTTTCGCGGAATTACAAGTCGTGATGATTAGCGCTTGGGTCTCTCGAAATCAAAATACCGCAAAACCCACCCACCCTTCTCTCTATCCAGTGTTATTGCACCTGTTAAGCAAAATGTTCGCTCTAGTTGCGTGTCTTGGTATGTGAGGCGGATCGTCACGGGGAGATGAGGAAAAGGAAAGAAAAAAGGAGAAACGCATGACGTGCCCGTAGTGTATCCACTCACATACACGCTGATCCACTTCTCTCGTCGAGTGTGAAATATTTTCTCTCACCCACCCTGAAAACATTACCCACGTCAACATCCCAGTTTTCCTAATTTTCTTCTCTCGTCTACGTTATGAGGGTGACGACAAAAAGCGAGGAGGAAAAAAAAGGAAGAAATATCGTACCGAAATTGCGCGAGCGAAGGAACGGAAGGGGGAGTTCCATTGGCACCCATCGTGACTTGCACAGATGCAGGAAGCAGCAGCGAATGCTAGGGGCAGGATTACTGAGATATTATATGTGGGGGGATACGAGAAAGGCTGAACAAGAAATGAACTGGTATCCGCTGGTGAAAGGAAGCAGATCACGAGATCAGCCGGTCTGACCAGAAGACATTGCGATGATGAAAACAACGAATCCAATTTGTTTTAGTTCTTTGTCCAGAGCACGTGTTTCCGTTTCCGTCTCGACAAAGGTCGACGAGGGGGAATGAAGCGAAGCGAGACAAGGTTAGGGAGATGGTGCCAAGACGAAATGAGTTTTTTCTTTGCTCTAGTATATAGGAGAGTCTATAGATAGAAAACCCTCGATGTTGTTTCTCCCCCACCCAAATATATCTCTTCCCTTGCGCAGGAAACACTCGTCTCCCTTTGGTATAAACCATCTCTTGTACCGTATATATGAGCCAGTGTGTAACCAGCCAGTAATGGAAAATCCTAATCAAGACCGAGTAATAAGCGGTGACATAAAACGCCGAAGAAAATGTTCATCATCGTAACCGATGACGAGAAACGAATGCCAGATCACGCCTTAGAGGATGGTATATTTTGTATTGGGAGGTTTTAAGAAGAAATATGTGAGAAAAAAGAAAAACGACGCTGAAGTGAAGCGTCGCAAGAGGGAAAGTCAGATTCCCTGAAGCGTGGACGTTGAGTGGGGGTACTTGGTTTCGTTTTCCTCCTTTCACTGACAGTCTCGTCGTCGTAGTTGTTCCTTACATCTTCATTTTCCCACTCATTTGACCTTTTCTCTTCATGACGTCATCGCGAAAATCATGGGGTGACGCCCTGCCGACATTGGATCGCTCACGTTACTCTATGGGCCTGTTCTTTCATCAACCTTTCTCACGTTTTCCCGACGGTTTCGATCGTGTCTGACCCTGATACACTAGTCGTAGCAATGGAGATATTCGAAGTTGGCCTAAGCGCACGTTCTGCTGGCCTAATGATGTCCCAAAAAAAGAAAGAGGGCTTGGCAAGAGAGAAGATGCCACGGATGCATCGAGGCGTACCATGTCACTCAGACACTTGCATTGTCGACATCTAAAAGAAAGAGGGGAAAGGTTAGGTGCTCCCGTTTCCACATAGCAGTGTCTCCTTGTCCTTTCCGTCCAGTCTTAAATGAAACTTTCTCCCACGGATTCGTTGGACCCAACATCTTTTCAAAGATCCCTTTCCCTCCGATTCCCTCCTGTGGGGGGAATCAAATGAACTTTCCCCTCTCTCAATGGCGGCTTTTGATCTTAGTTTACAGGGCTTTTCGAAGTTTACTTTTCATTCCCATTTGGATGTATATTCCTCTCTTTGACTCACGCACTCTCTCACGACACGGATCAGCTTCTCTGACAAACATGAGCATGTCAAAAATAAATACACAGGATATGAGTTTCCTGGCCAGATGGTGTTTTACGACGCATCTTGTATACTATCTGGAAAATCTAAATTAACCTCCGGTAACATATATATATGTATTTGTGGCAACATAACAGGAGGGGAGATATGCAAATTTCATTTCCATGCTGAATTTCGGATAATGAAGATTGCAGAGAGCTATAGGCAATGCCCGTCGAGGTGACAGTCGCGAGGAGAGGACAATAATTGAGACTGGAACGTGGATAGGATGGGAATAGCATTCGCTGTTATTGACGCTAACGTGACTTTCTCAACCTCAATGAAGCCAATATTCCCTCAACACCCACGGTCGCCACCTCTCCACTGTCATCTCTTGCGACATCGCTTGCAATAAAGATTGCCATCAATTGACTTCTTCGGTATGTACGTTTAGCGGCAGCGGAATTCTCTTACAGCATGTAATATGAAACGCGACACGTATCCTCCGAATGGGGATGCGAGTAATTAATGTCTATACATTTGTACCTTTTAGATCCTGATAATGGATCCTTTATAGCAGCTCACCTCTGTTTCCCAATGGAACCTTTGGCCATAGTGAAGCGAGGCACGTCGTCAAAGGAATGCCGCCACTTCTCCAGTATTACACCGTCTTTGGACTCGAACCAAATACACGCTTCCACACGCACACTCCCTCTTTCGGAACTGGAGGAGACGGGGAAATTCGGTCA